ATCACTTGGAAGAGGTATTTCGTGGTGAGTTGGGTACGGCGCGACATGTTGTAGTACGCATAGTGTTTGAGGGTGATTCCACAGAACAGAAGAGACACAATGCCTACGAATGTCAGCTTGCTTCACACCATTGGTGAAAAGCACATCACTCACCAGACAGATAGACACCATTCGAGAAGAAGTAACTGGCATAGGCGATAAGGACAATCAAGCAACTCTCAATCTTGGGCTGGCGGCGCACATGCGTGTACTTCAAGCCCAGAGCGGTCATAATGCCGACGATGATACCCACCATCATACTTCCAAAGAAAACCAGCAAGAACACTCCAATAGCCTCGAACAGGTTCAAGAAAGTCAAGGAACCCGCATCACTGTCGGCGTACTTCTGCGCAGTCTCGAATAACACAATAGCGATGGCATCGTTCAAGATCGACTCGCCAAAAATGACCGTGTAGAGCTTCGGCTCGACTTTGTACAAGTTGAAGATAGCCAAGATAGTGACTGGATCCGTCGCCGACAGAGTCGCACCGACTGCGATAGCCTCAACGAAGGAGATATTCAGCCCATCCAACGGAATTCTCGTCCAGACAAACAAGACCAGTCCCAGCACAATAGCAGAGATAAACGTTCCAGCGAAGGCGAAGGTGAGAATGGTACCGATGTTTCGGAAGAAGTTCGCCTGGTGTAGTTCGTAGCCCGACGCCAAAATGATCGGAGGAAGGAGAAGGTTGAAGAAGAATTGATAATCGAAGGTGACGCTATCCTGAATAGGTGACTCAGGACTCAATCGGATGATCAATCCGACGAACATGCCTAAAGTTATCCCACACCCATGAGCGCCTGATCCTCATAAACTCCGGGAAGAAAACAACCAAGCTGCAATCGACGTACCCGCAAATATAGACAGCACTGTTTCATGAACGGCCTGAATCTTCTTCTGTTGGAGAATGTAACTCGTGAATAGCGCGAACATCAACAACATAATCAGGATGAAGAGCGCCCAGGAGCTGAAGAACTCCTTATCGCCGGTATCCGGAGCATCTGCTGTAAACCCGACATTGTCAGATCGAATGGCCAAGACCAGAGACAGAATATTTTGGAAGGAGTATAACGCGCGTACCATCATCGGGGTCCGTATCCGAATCCACAGCTCTCCCTGAGAAGCACGAAGTCGTTAGTGATCATTTTCGTTTCAAATTGCCCGACCGCGTATGCATCCATCCATCACAAGGGGCCGCCGCCTCCTCACAGAGGAAGCCCCAGGGATCTCTCAACAATCAACCCGAAGCTTGACATCCTCCTAACAGAACCGCTGGTATCGCATGGGAAATTGGAGACATACGGATTAGCTGGTGTAAAAAGTCGCCCATCACTTGGGTAGCCATTGTTTGGGGATATCCCTCGCAATCACGACGCGGATGACGGTTTAACGCCCAGCAGCGAGTCTCTGGTACGGGGACCAGGCACACATAATCTGCCGATCGCAAAAGACCTGACGGGAGGCAGGAAGGCGCAACAGCAGCGAAAAGCGAGAGACTGTAAAGATGTGTGAAGCGAAAGCTGGCATGAGTTGTAGGGGACAAGTATTCGTCAACGCCCGCCGGAGTCCCGCGTGGCCAAGACCCGTCGCTGTTCGGCCCGCTGATCCTCCTGGCGTGTGACGTCGCCTCAATAGAATGAGAATGAACTATTGCTGGTTACTTAACTTTTTGCCTACAATAACGGGTCTTTTTTGTTTCTACTATTCCTTCCACTTCGGCCTGGTGTTACAGATGATGATAACTCTCCATCCATGTGTAGTAAATTAATGTCAGTTACTATCATTGTGTCTGTTACTCCACACCAATCATACAACTCCTACGATGAAACACTCACTCCTCTTGCTCCCTCGGTAAGCCTGCTGGTCAGCACTGCCGCCAGTACTGCCGCGCAACCCCCGAACCTCATCACCCACCCGACACTGTCATCCCACGGCTCACCCCGAGGCTTCTGGAACGCCTTGAAAATCGCACTAGAAATCAGACTCGAGATGATTTGTGGCGCCGAGATGGCCACATTGTGCAGTCCGAGGATGATCCCTGCCTGTGCCAGATTTTCCTCCTCTTCCACCTCCCCTGCCTTTGTAGTTGGATTGGGTGATCCATTCTCCAGGTCTTGCTCGTCGGTATTGGCTCGGGTTGGTAATCTCGTATCATCGCGAGGCTGCTCAGAGACTGCACTCCCATTCTGATGTCGCCGGATGCGACGCTCCGTGTCAATGCGGGAGACCTCCGCAGAGATTAGGGCAAAGGGTGCCCAAAGCGTCAATGCCCACGAGATACCAACGATCCCGATAACCACCGTTGCCGCCTGGTAAGAATAGATGAAGAATGTGCTAAACATGCAGACAGCGAACAGGATGTGTGACATGAGCCACGCACGCCGAAGGGTAAATCCGGGGATCTGCAACTTCGCTAGCCACTTATTCTCTCCCGAATCGCCCTTATCGATTCCCAAGATGGGCGCGGGTGCTTCCATGGCAGTGCTAATTGAGGATGTAGACAGCCTTCTGTTGCCTAGGAAGGGCTCGTCCTCCGACTCACCTTCCGTAGGAGTGGGCTCAGAAGGAACAGCTGACTTGTAGGTAGGAACAACAAGGACAGGCAGCGTTAAGTTTGTCACAAATGAGATGATTGCGTAGACCAGCAGCGCAAATGTCCCAATTCTCGTAGCTTCTTCCCAAGCTTTGTTGATATCATCATCCGAGAGACCCGGGTGTCCATCGAAAATCGGATTCACAAAGAGCTGCCCGATATATGTCGTGGAATAGAAAAGGAAAGGGAACCAACCCACCCACGCGGCAAGTTGAACTTCGCACACCTTGGCAATCTCCGGCGGCAGGTGTTTGATCGACTTGAAAACGTGTTTGAAGAATGTCACAAGCCCAGGGTTCCCTGATGAGGGCGTGCCATCCAGACGGGGATCGCGTTCTTTAATGTATAAACAGCTGACCAGCAACGTTATCCCAAGTGCGATGGACGCCAATGCACAGAGGACTTTGAACTGTGTGTTTCCCAAAAATGGGAACCATTTGGGCAGGTCCATGTATCCAAAAATGTACCCAAGAATGTTACCAACGCCAGTGAGCCGACTAGCCCATGCATTCGCCGCCTCCTGCTGATGCGAAGGGGCATTATCCACAATGAAACACCGGATGCCTGCCTGCACTGCAACCGAACAGTCACTTTAAGTTTGCACAGATAAGCGAAGCATAAGGAAACCTACCAGTATTTACAGAAAAGTCAAGGCAGTACATCAGGATGGTGGCCAGTACAATGACCACTGTCCGCGTTGCACTGGAGGCCGGATCAACACCGAAAAGGCCAAGGAAGCCTCCGGTCATCTCCTTGACCCAGGCGAGAGCAAGGAGAGAAATAACCGTCGCAATGCCGCCCACTACCATGAACGGCTTCCTCTTGCCCCATGATATGCGGCAATTGTCGCTGCATATGCCGATATACGGCTGCACAAGGGTACCTGTGATAGGACCAGCAATCCAGACGAATGCAAGTAAAGCCTTGCTCATTCCGAGCGACAGGAGGTAGGGCTATGCTCAGGAACATAATCAGCACCCTATTCCCACATGAAGCCCCAGTAGCAGTGGTAGCTTACCGATCCATTTGATAGCTCAGTGGACCACACAACCTGAAGACTAGAACAACAACTCGTCAGCTTCGGGCAAAAGCCATACACCACACAGAAACAGTCCAAGACTAGATCGCCAACGGATCAGACTAGCCACCTACCCGCCAATGCTCAAAGTCAACAAAAACAGGTACCAGCTGCTCTTCGTCTCAGACAGATGGTGAGCATCTCCAGCCCCGCTGGTCCCGTTGTTATCTCCATTTCTTGACATCGAATGCACTTGATTATTGTCAGATGCTCCCACCAAAGGGGAAGTTTCGTCAGCGAACCGCTCATGCGTCTCTGGCATTTGATCTAGCTAAAAGCAGCGTTGCTGGACACAACGATCCCCTGTTGACAATCGGGGAATTCAAAAGAAGTTACCGCGCGTGTGTGTGATACGATCAGGACTTCCTGCTTTAGTCATTCATGGGATAGAAAAAGACCCGAAGATAGCACACGCGGGACTAGTAGCATATAGAATGGTTAGAAGTGGATAGATAGACCCAAGGGTTTGGAAAGGCCGTGGTACACAAGCTAGTCCAGTATGGAATGCAACCGTTCTGTGGCTTCTTCCTGCCGGAGGTTGAAGCAAGTGGTAGTGCAATATAGTGTGTGATAATCTCAAACAGGCTGTTGAAACGTGGTTGGATTCCTCAGGGTTCGGCAAGAGGTAGTAGTGGACACGCGAGTATGTATTTATGGAAAGTGAAGCGTTCAGGGAGCAGTATCAGCAGATAGGAGGTATGGCACGAAGATCAACCCTTTGGGTTCCTAGTCTTGCACCATGCTAGGCGGACTAGAAGAACAGCTCACTGCAGAGAAATAAAGAGGAGGCATTCCCGATGAATACGATGGGGGTGTCTTGGATGACGATACCTTGTAGAATCGGGTCGACGTCAGCAGGCCATGCACGTGATATAGCCCGATCTGGAAGCCGGGTCGAACGGGTCACGATTGGATCAGGCGGAGACACGCAGTCGTCTGACAGGTGACAAACATCCATCCCCTGACTTACTTTTACGGCTACTAGTCCTTTAACAGCATGGGTTTCATTACCATTTGATTCATATCTATATGTATGTGCTCAACCTATGCACGCCCGTCGCAGACACAAGAACCCATCTTCTCGGAATATCTATAATGGAAGAAGCTTCAAATCCAGACCCCCTTCTTGCATCCCCGCTTCAGGTGTGCCTGGAGAGCCGCGAAATATCCCACGAGCAAAGAAAAGTAGCCTTTTCAAGCTAAATGCCCTTTTTGATCAACCCTCATCTGTAATCCAACCCACCAAATATTCCCATCACCGCGATAAATGAAATAGTACAAGAAAGCCCATTATCAACATAGCACATAAAACAAATAAAACCAGGAACCCGACCGAACAAAAGGAGACAAGGTAAAAAAGAACAAGCACAATTATGGGGTAGAGACAACAGCTTACCAACCCCGAGGAACGAGCACATGTAACGCTTATTATGGACACCAAATCCAGACCGACCGCAAATAGAAAACAAAGGAAGATTCAATCCAAATCTGGAAGCAGCCCCGCTATCACCCGGGGACAAGGCAGCAAAGCAGGAGACGACATCCTGCAGGAAGCCAATAGCTGTCAACCGAGCCTCAGTGACGTGGCATCAACGTACAGGAGCCACAGGGCCGAACAGCGTACACTTGGCGATGCAATCAATCAAGAACGGAGTAAGGGACGTTTTGTATGCAGACACGCGCCCTCAACTCCTCGAGTTAATTAGTGAGAACAAACACAGTAGACCGAGGGTCGAGATGCAAAAGCATCAGTAAGGACTGAACAGAGCGAACAGAGTAATGTGTGACATGTCTGGCAAAGTATCAACCAGTTAGAGGACCACCATGGCGCATCACTCATAGCTGCTGCTGCAAGAGTTGAGGCGCAATCATGTGAGGAGCGACCATTGTGGGCATAGCCGATGGCAGGGTCATAGCGGAGGGCATCGTGGTCATGCCAGGAACATTCACCATGGCACCTGAGACAGATTCAGACGGGGAAGATCCCTCCTCGGCTGAACCAAATCCGTTCTCTTCATTTTCCAGGTCTTCCTCGTGGCCAGAAAGGGGCTGCTGCCCATCCTGTTGAGCCTCGTGGATTCGACGGTGTCTGTAAGGCAGATTAGCATCCTGAAAAAAAATACTGAGTTAACATGCTGATAACTTACTGTGCCAGGTTATCCGATCGGGAGAATGCTTTGTTGCAGTAAGGACAAGGGTAGGGCCTCTCCTGGGTGTGTGTTCTCACGTGGCTGCATCCTTCATGTTAGTCGGCGGCTACAGAAACAATGGCTTTAAGGCTTCCGCCGATCCCTTCAGGAACCCGGACCAATTGGGAAGCTCATAAGAATAGAATTTTGCAGCTTACCGTTTCAAATGTTCTAATCTCTTGAAGAGGCGTCCGCATGATGGAATGGGGCAGGAGTGTGACTTCTGCGGGTAGGGGCCGAGCTCCATCATGGTAGCGCTCCGAGCACGACGGATGGGACCGTATCGGTCATTCTTATTCGTCGCACTATTCTGGACAGATGCATCTAGCGCCTCACCGCTAGGGAGAGGCGCTAAGTCATCTGGTTGATTTGCAAGAGCCAAGGTACCCTGCTCGGGGTTTTCCTCGAGACTCGGCAGCGGGGTGCTGTTGCGGGACATCTCATGCAGCAGGTTCTTCTGGGGAAGGACTGCGGCACGATAGCCATTGGCAGCCCTGAAAGACTGATCATGATGAGACTCATCCACCTCCGCTACCGGAGCCACCGAGCTGGAGACTGAGCGACGAAGGTCGCTGGGTTTATGGGCAGCGTACGCAACAGCTTGGTTCGGTGCACTAGTCACCTGGGGGTGCGGCCCAGCGCCAACGCTGGTGATACTCGGGGGTATCGAAGACCGCCGCCTACGTTGCTTGTATGTAGGAGAGCCTTCGATGACCGAGTAGACATTTGAAGGGAAAGTTCTTGCAGGCGCCGGGTAGTGCGCATGGGCAAGGTTCGACGGGGGTAGCTGCATCATTGGATTGAAGTGGGTTGCGGAAGAGATATCGGGGATGGCGGTGTAGAGACCGGTGTCTTCGTTAGCGATGTATGCCGGTTCAGCTCCAAGGTGGGAGCTGTGCTGAGGAGGTGTAACAGGCTCGAACGATAGACCCCGGTTGCTGTAGTCCTCGTATTGAGACGAAACGAACGATGGCGCCGGCGAGTATTCGACGAAGGTGGGCATGGAGGCATGGCGCTGGTGTAGACGAGCAATGGGCATGCCATTGCGGTCGTATTGAATGTGCCCGTATTCGGCTTCGCGCTTAATAACGCTCTGGGCCAGGGTGGTGGGCATAGGAACTGGGTTGTACATCGCCGGATTGCCCGACTCGTCCGGGAGAAGGGGTAGCGCCGGGGGAGCCATCTGGGGAGCCATCTGGGGAGGAGGCATAGCGTCAACGGTCCGAACCACTGGGGATGCGGGTTGGCCATATGTCGTACTTGCGTGTGCAGCAAACGATGAGGAATTTGCTTGTTGTGCCTTTGTGAGTTGTTCATACAGCGACTGGGATGAATCGAACTCGAAAGACAGAGCAGGCTCGCTGACCGCAACCGTGGTCGCCTCCTGCCCCATTTTCTCCCGCTTCAGATCACGTTCCAACGCATCGAGAAACAGCCGATCGTGTGGCACACTGTACCAGTAGAAGACTTTCTGCTTTTTCTGGGTTCGAATGCAATTGTTCTTGTAGAGGAAGTCGAGGAACGGGCTCTTGGGTTCTTCTAGAGTAGCATCAGTTCCGGCCTTGAGGTTTCGCAAGTCCGAGAAGATACCCTCCTCGAACTTCTTCGAATTCTTCACGGGGCGCCCGAAGGCCTGGAATCTGAATGCGAGGCATCTGACGATGTCGGTTCCGGAGATGTGAAAGAGATTACTCCTATCGCGAATCAGTTTAGGTGTTCTTTGATCAACTGCATGGCATTGCGACGATCGCAACTAACCATAAGACGCAAGAGATGTAGTCGCCAGTGGGAAGCAAGAAGCGCCGGATGAGTTGATCTGCATGCCAGTCCACTGGCGCCGAGAGGAGAAAGTATTTGACTATACCAGAGATGGACCATCAGTCAGGAGTCCATCAGAGGGCCTGGGTTTGAATGCACTGGAAAGCCAGACTGGAGATACAGGCGTTGTAAGCATCACAAAGGAAAACGTACGATTGTCAACCTGCTGCAGCGCGACTTGCGCGTCATGTGGAAGGCTTTGCTGGGCCTCAGTGGAAAGCATAAACGTCTCCGGCTTTTGGGGAGGTGCCATAGGGGCACCGTGTTGGGAATACATAGCGGATGTGATACAGTAGTCTGTCGGGGAATCAGTCAAATCTTAAAACGACGGTTTGCTTGCAAGCATAAGCGCGAACAAAGAAGAGCGCCATGGGAAGCGGCAAGTGGACGGTGTCACAGAGGACCGGTTGGGCAGAGCAAGGAGTTACGCACAGTCACAACACCCGGTTAGGAAAGCGGACAAACAACCACTCGCAAGGAATCAAGGGGAGCGATCTCGGAGGATTGATTGCTATATAAAGATAGAAACAGGTTTGGATATAGGGTGTTCGACGACGGGATCGTGAAACACAAAAGGGTTATCCAAACACAGCTGATGGGGTAGGAAAAAAAGAGGTGCCAGCCTCTTGTATGGAAAGAGTAGCAAGCAAGTAGTTAGGCGCTGACGTTGTGCCGAACCCTCGTCAACAAAGGGCAAATGAAAGGCAGTGAGAAAGAGAGAGAGCAACAGAGAGTTGAACTGGGCCAGCCCGATTACAAGTCCCTTGGGTTGAGATAACTCGCACGGCGAAGATGGGGATGTGAACTGAAACGAAAGGAGGTGAAGAAGAAGAAGAAGAGGAAGGACGAAGTAAAAATGGAAGAAGAAAAACAAGAGATGCCAGTCGCGATGGGGAAAGAGTAGGAGGGGAAGGGGAAGAGAGGAAGAGGAAGAAGTGGAGGGATGAAGTAGGGACTTGCTTTTTTACAGCAGAGATGAGGTACAGATCAAGTATGGAAGGGCAGTCGGTAACCGGTAATAATAATGCCAATCGATAAAATAATAATCTAACAATAAATAATAAAATCGGGAAAAAGAACAATAATAATATTAAACGACCAGCCAGTGTCGAGAGACGGAGACTTTGGGTCTGGGAGGAGGAATTCAGGGAGCGCCGCCGACCGAGACCCGCGGATCGAGTCGCCCACTTCTGGAGTCTCTCTTTCGACTACTTTTCTTCTCTCCCTCCTGGGCGGCTTGACTAAGTTACTTACTTACTTAGTTGGTTGGGCTCCGGGATACGCGCACGGCGAAAAAGTAGGGCTTTTTTTTACCCACTGAGTAAAGAATAGGAAAATATAAGTGGAGACGGGCGCCAGGGACCGACTTCAGGGCAGGGAGAAAAGGGAAGAAATAAAAAAAAATGAAAAAGAATATTTTAGAGTAAATAAAATAAAATAATAATATAATAACAAAAGAGGAGAAAAAAAAGAGGACAGAAAGTCTGAGAGAGCCTAAGGGCAAAAAGAGGAGAGAGGAGAGAGAAAGAGAGGAGAGAGGGCCCTCCCGGTAATCAAATCACACGATACAGGAATTATACACGTATGGTAAAAAGGGCTGCTCCCTGAAGTAACCTCCCCCCAGGACCGATTATCCTGCTATTTGCTTCTCTTAGCAACGAAATCACACCTCCAAAAAGTGGGGTCAATGGTAAGATATTTAGGTATTCAAACGGTCAGGTACCAGGAGGATAACCAGATTACCAGACAGTGGGGCTGCCGCCGACTTCCAAAGATTCCAATCCATCCCATCCGTTAGTGATTTTTTTGTTGCCGGGCCCGCCTCCCTCTTGGGTTAGTCCACCTCCATCGTTGCTAAACTTATTCATAGAAACCTGCTGGAAGGTGGTAAGAGCAATCAGTACGGAGTAAGTTATCTTGTTAAGTAGTTCAACTTACTAGTCAGTTGATTTTCTGGTCGGTCATACCAACATTGAAATGAGAAAAAAGGAAAAAGGACAAAGGAAAATCATCTGTTGAAAGGGCCTCTAGTACTACATACTAACTCACATATACTACAAAATAATCATCCTACAACACCCTGTCTCTTCCTGCAGCTTGCAATCATACACCCCAAAGCTCTAAGCCAATCCCATTGATTCTGTGGGGTAGCCTACCTGCTCCGACTTGGCGACTGTTAATTTGAAGAGCGCTTCCTGAAGATATCTTACATCATGGGCCGCGCGATATTTACTGGCTTTCTACTATGTGTGGGGAAGGTGTGGCTAACCTTACACAGAAGAAAAGGAATGGGCAAACAGAACATGCAAAAGTGGAGTTGGTCCGGTAGCCTAGGCACCTCCATGATGGATCATGGGTATCCGATGACCTGACTGTTGGGAATTCGGATTTGCAACCAAAATAGGATATCAGTAGTTCAGTACGCTTTCTCTGTGGACATAATTCCTTGAGTGGGATCCAGGGAGCCTTAACACAAGTAAGCTCTATCTCTTGGCATCCCAATATTACTACCAGAAGCTTTTGGAAAAGGGGAAATCAGGAGAAGCGTTCCCTCTGTGTTGTAGTAAGAGTAAATATTGTGTAGTAAGTAGTTGTACACCACCAGATATGCACATAGGCGCGCACGGGCGATGTACCCTCCTCTTTTCAACTTACTTAGGCGATGATTTTTTTGGGGGCCTCATTCTTCTTGGGGGCCATTTGCCAGATCTCCAGCCTATCCAAGCATTACACACATACACAGACACACAACCCACCATTGACACTAGCACTGCATATCACAGCCAGCGGCTATGGTAAGTGGGAAGTCACATCGAATAAGAAACGAGAAGATGCGGGTTGCTTAACCGCCCAATTCATCGCTACCAACCTTCTTCTACAGTAGTAAGTAGTCCACTACCCTTCCTTCTTCTTCTTTTCTTCTTTTTCTTTTTTAACACCCTTTGTGCCAGCAATGCTACCCGCTTGGTCAAGGCATGGAAATGAAATCACAAACCAAGGCGCCTCGCTGGGTTTGCCGCCCTGGGTTGAACCAAGAAAAGGCCACAACGCCAAGCCTGCACACCCGATCAAACTGGCGCGGGAAACAATCTTGAAGCATTCGCCCCTTGTTTCAGAATTCTGGTGAGCGCTTACTACTCCGCCAATGGCTGGCATGAATTATCCCTTCCAACCCACAATTTTCAGTGGCCCCAATTGAACTGAGAGAAGCAATATCCACTTTTCAGTCGTGATAGTGTGTGCCTTTCTCTGTCTCTCTGTGAGATAGCTTTGTTTACCCTTGCCTACTTACTTACCTGTATGTGACTACTTGTAACTACAGTATGACTAGTAGACTAGTAGGGGAGCTAGTAATAGCCCATCCATCCATCACCTTTGTTTTATGTTTGTTCTAGCAACACTATACGACAAGGGCTTCCAACCTGCTTCTTCAATGTGTGGTTGGATATCTGGCGGCTATGCCATGCTATCGTCATCTACATATGATTGCCTGTGTAGCATAGCATGCCATGGCATGGCATGGCAATGGCAGTGTTGTATTACTTACTTGTCATGGGCTCATCTGATTGTCAGACTAGCCATGCACCAGTACCACCGCCCAGTTTCTGTCCAACAGGCGAATTACATGCAGGGTTGTTATGCGGGTTTCCGAAGTAGTATCCAACTAGTAGAAACTCTTCAGGGCAACAAGTAATTGACGGCACCAAAAATAAACCGACTGACTGATCTTACGTGATGACCAGTTTGATCGTGGCGCACAATGATGTACAATCCTTGGTATTGTACAGTTAGTAGATAGTAGCCTCTTGGGAAGTCTACCGAAGTAGTGGGACAGTATGATATGTTTTGCCCCCTTCGGCTTGCATATGGCCCCCCTTTGTTTGGGAAGATCAAGGGTACCGATGGAGGAGGTCACTCGGCCAGGCAGTGCTTACACGCATGTACATACACTACCATACATTTTCCAAAAGCATGGTGGGCTTAGCTGCTCAAAGATAGGAATAGCCTACAGCCCAAAACGCCACTGCCACCAAGGGACGCATGACCGGTGAGATTTGCCGCTCAAGGCTGGTTGAGGGGGTCACTTAAGATAGTAGTAGTTGGGAAAGTGTACCCCGGTAAGTTGGTAAGTACCTACTTAGTTGGTACTTTCTGCCCTCTGATTGTCTTTGGACGTATATAACTGATCAAGATGATCAATCACAATCACCATCATAGCGGCAAGCGCTACGCCCATTGGCCCACCAACCATAGCCTCCAAATAAAGGTTAATATCGGATACAAATTATCACGATCGACTAAATCACATTCACCTGACTCTTTCACAAGATACAGACAACGATCTTAAATTAAATCGCACACAGTATGAGGGGCCCGATTACCCGAGCTCATTTTTGAGACATCAAGGTTTGGTCCGTGTGCATCAATATAGTGCACTTCGATATTGGGATCGTGCTTTATGGGGTATGTTCCTAACTCTAAGAACATCAGATCGTCCTCGTCGTCTGAATTCATAGATGCCTGATGATATTATCACTGGTATGTCAGAGATGACATAATGATCGCCTGAGTCACATACCAGGCTGAATCACTGTCGCAGGATAGGAAACAAGCGCGGGTATGTCGCAATCCATGTTTCGTGACCCGAGCTAACCCATTTGTTTAACGCGATCACAATGACAAATCTGAAAGCAATTGTTTGCTAGGTAATCTGGGCGAGAAAAGGCGGTGATGCGAAAAATGAGGTCTAGCCGGTTTAACCCCGGAGCATGCCATCATACGGTCAGGACGTTGAGCATCAGGGGGTGATCTGCGCAATCCAAAGGATGGATGCGAAAACGGCGAAGCTTAGTCGCCAAGCCTTAACAGTCCAATTCTTGTGGTATCCATGGTAGGATGTGTCTTCCGAAAGTCTGTCCGAAGTGTGCCGTAAGGCCATGATTGCCCCCTATACTGTACTTCCTCCACTTCCGCCCGTTTAAGGAGGTTCAAGATGGCTAGTATAGTCAATATGCTGGTTATAGAGGCATACTTAGTGCAGCGGTGCTGGGATTGTCAGGCGGTCATTGGCCCGATCGTCAAGATCTTTATGTAGGTAGTCTACTCCACAGTTTCGGCCGAATTCTGAATGTCCGCAGAGAAAGAGAGAAAGACCTACAGAGATAGTCACCGTGCACTGTGCAGACTACAACGACTGCGTGTGCTGGGCAAAAAAAAGGGGGGGCATCATGGGTATGCCGGTCAGGAGAGGTCAGGGACCACCAAGAAATCACAAAAATAGACAGGCTGATATCTGAGCACTGTCATCGATCAGGGTCGGTGGGAAGAGACCCCTTGCTACCCATGATAAATTCTCCGAAGACCCAGTCAAAAATGCCGGAGGCTGGTTGCTGCATTTGGGAGAAGTCCGAAAGACCGAGCATCCCGAGAGGGCGCCGATAGCTCGCACCCATACACATTTAGAGTTATCCAAAGCCATGTCTTTTAGTCTGGACGCCTCTTCGGAGCAGACTACGTAAGTTCTCACGATATCTCGCAATAGTTCTCGGAGCAGTTGCGAAAGGAAGTGGAAGAACGGCGTAAGGATGGGGATTGGGATGGGGTTAGGATGGAGTCGGGATGGCTCGAATCCAGTAGCAACAGTCGGAAGCATAGCGAGACTAAGGTTAGCATGGCAAATAGTGCCAGTAGATAGTACTCCAGTACTCCATCGAAGATGCTAAGTGGTACTAAGGACAACTTGGAAACTCAAGCTCTCCCCTGACGGTTGAATCCTTCCAGACCCTAATAGGGTGGCAACCAGGCCGGAATAGGCAATTGTGCCTGGATTCCATGGGGTTCTCAATGGAGACCAAATGGGGCCATAAATTACGGCCGCCTCTGCCGGCTTGCTGACCACAAGGTCGCCATTGGTAAAGCCGGCATTAGCTCGTTACTTAGTGCCTTAGTAGTAAGTTAGTTCAGAAAAAGGCCATTCTACTTTGACTTACCCTTTCTGTCCTTCTGCGAAGAGGAAAGGCCGCATTTCCAGCAAGGGAAGGCTTGGCCCGCTCTCTGTGCAACGGGCCTGGGTTTGATCGTCAGGCCTGAAACCATCTAGAAAAGTCCAGCACTGTTCCAACTTCCGCCATCCGTCACTGCCAGGACCACCTGGGCAACATCTATCTCTTACGGTATGAGTCTGTGCCGCACTCGGCCTCGGCCTGTACTGCTATCTGTCGGGGATACGAGATAGGCAGCTCAGGGCGATCAAACAGAGGCCGGACCAACGCTAGGTCCATCTTTCTAGTTTCTACATCTCTACCTTCTGTTCGGGTGATAGCTTGTGTCTCATATCTAGCCATGAAGCTAAGCTGGAGTAGTGTCCAAGATGAAACTCCCGGCCTGACTCGAGAACGTGCGGGGGAGCTTAGAGTCGCATCCGTCCGGGTTCTGTTTACAACTGTCAGCTCCTTAGTGGAATGTGTAGCGAATGCGCCGTCCCTATGCTGATCCTCCCAGCCTGATACATCTCTTCCTTCCGGATTGCCGATACGTTCGATGGTTAGTAGGCCAGCTTGGTCGGCCTCTTTCACCTAGGATTTCGCACACACACAATAGTCGCTTGTTGACAACAGTCGTACTATCCCACAAACTGATATAAATCCGTGAACCATGCCAATAAACCTCGGAGACCCAAGAGAAGCACACTGGCTCCTGGAGAATCTGTCTCCGCCAGTCAGCAAATGGAATGGCCGGATATATCGGAATGGAGATGATCAGCGGCCTTGTTCTCTCGCCGTTTAAACCTCGGGTTTTGGTATTAGCCTCTGTTCTATATGGCGACCAACGGAGAAAGCTGGAATTCCGTGTCCGCGAATCCACCTCTTGCCTCTAAGTTCCTGCCCAGGCCATAGATCGATCAGCTAGCTTGCCCTTGTCTCTCGATCCTCCACATTGTTGACTTCTCGATATTGAGGACAACAGATGAGTGACTTTTTCCATCATACCGTGACAAGATATTCATGGGCCTAATCACACCAGCTATCTAGTGCATTGTCAAGATGCCAAGCAGGTAGGTGAGCACTAAGAGCGGGGATTACGCATTTTTTTTTTTTTTCCCACGTTCCTGCATGAAGGATCATATAGCGGCATTTTCTAGCACTAGACATGGATACTCCAACTCCGCATCATGCTATCAACAACAACACGCTATAGACACCAATCCGGCTTCATGCGCGATTCGGTAGAGTTCCGCTCAAGGGGTGATAAATGCCAAGTGTAGTCGGCAATAATCCAGATCCAGCTTGCACGATATCGTCTAGACTTCTCCAGAAGGCACCAACCACCCTGTCTCTACGGGTCACGACTCAGACTTCTGACTCGTACTAAGCGACATTTCCAAGCGATTCCGGTGCAAGTGTCAAAGTACACTGCTCGGAATGGTTACGTGCAGAATCTGAAACGACGAAGATGTCTCCCTGTCCCGCCTCATGGCTTGTGGTTCGTGTAAAGGCACGAGCATGCAGAATTTAGTGGGAGATGACTAACAAAACCGGATGGATGCATGACAATAATGGGAACTATTATTGACGCCTGAGCAATTCGCATACAATTTTTTTTTTCTCCTTTTGCGGCTTCTCCATTCCCCTTCACGGCAGCGGTACCTGAACTAGAGAATTGGAACCACGGAACCGCTATTGCACTAACCTAATAATATCGGATTATTCATGCAGGTACCCCGGTACACCGGAACTAGATAAGCAGACAGAGGAACTGCCTGAGGGTGGGACGTTTATCCGCTAGTAGCAGATCGGTGTGCCTGTAGCCGCAGAACTGGCAAACTCAATCATATCAGACTGGCAAACTCTTAGTCCTTATTAGGCTGGCTTAAACCGAGACCGAGCTAGAGATGGGAAAAAAGGAGTATGACTGATCAGATGAGAACCTAGGTTTCTCAACTCAACATTTGGTGAGCGCTACTACAGGAGAGAACTGACGTGTACCTTGATAGTAGTTCTCCAAGGAATCGAGCTAAAAAGTACTAAAAGTCTTGTTTACAGTCGGTTCATGCGACGCCCTTTCACCGGGTGTCTCTATACGAGATGGGGATGTTCTATTTTTGCTCGACAAGAGACTAGACACTTTCTAAGATCTATCTATCTAGGATGACTCGTGCTTCAGCTGTTTATAGACAGCACCTAGCGACTAAAACTGGCCAACCTCTGGGGTATTCTCATGTCCGTCGACCTTCTCAAACGTCCTAAGGCCATAGGCTGTCTCAGAATTGGGGGTCTCGTCCTCAAACCTTAGCTCGACTCGGGGATATCACCGTATTCGGAACAGCGTGCTCGGTCTCGCACATAGTTTGGTGCTATTGGAACGTGCTTCGCACACTGTCTTAGGGCGTTTCGGAGAATAAGGTTTGAGCGGGCAAATCAGAAGTTTCAGCATTGAATCAAGGCTGCAGGCAGCATGGACGCCGGAGCCATCTCGACGTCCTCATTACGAGCGGGCGCATCGTTCTGCTCTCCCCTTTGTTGCGGCACATCGAGGACTCGATCGGACCGATCACAGCAGTCTGGACACGGTAGACCTTCACAAAGGGGTCGGGGCGTGTTGGTGAAACAGCCGAAGAACAAGAGGAAGGCGAAGGATTGACAGAAAGTTCCTCATGTGAAGAAACAAGACTACAACCCCTCTTCCGGTAAGCATTACTGGGGCTAGGATACGCTCGACAGCCAATCCATGTCGAATCAGGGCGGCGTGCTCTGGGCGCGCACGGGACGTAAAGGGATCTGACTGGGAGTGGTGTCAGGCGTGGCTAGTACTGCCACTTATGGCTCTTAGGCAGGCCTACTAGCGACGTCCTCTGCCCCTGCCCTTGCCCTTTGTCGTGCGGCGCGGGCCTTGAATGGCGGCCACGTCACGCTTGCTCAGGTTCAAAGCACCACCCGCAAATTTTCCGATAGAAGCACCTCCGACACCGCGCTCCCGACGCTTGGTGCTGGCTGGATTTGATTTCGGTGCGGGCTTCTCGAGGATGATACCGTTCTCCTTGGCTTCGCGTCGGCGCCTATCTTCCTTCATTTCCGCCTTCTCCTTGATGCCTCTTCTGTGCGCTGTGGGCATTTTCTGCTTATACAGAGATGCCTTTGCCCCCAGTTCCTGCATTCTCAGGTCGAGAGCCTTGATTCGGTTTTTACCGGTTGGCGCAAGCTCATTCGCCGACTCGAGCAGATGGGATTCCTTGAGGAGCCGTTGCAAGGCGAGATCATTCTTCAGATTATCCGCATCCATGGCGTCCTCGTCATCATCGCTTTTTTCCTTCTTGGCCTTCTTTTTCGCCGGCTTCGGTTCTTCGGAATACGAGGGTGGTTTCGAGGTCTATTAAAGGCGAATTAGCAAAGAAACCATAACAGCACACGCACATTTCGTAGACATACCATAAACGCCTTGCGTGCCTTCTTATCCAACAGATCCTGACTCTTGATATCGCGATGCTCAACCACCTCAACCGGAGCCTCGTCTTCCTCTCCGGAAAGACCATCCCAATCAGAGCCCGATTCAGATCCCTCCTCAAAGTCCTCATCCTCGCTGTCTTCTTCATCCGACTCATCACCACGGGTCACCTGGCCCCCAGGCACCTCCAACGGCTGAAACTGCGCCTCAAAGAATTTGCGAAAAACATCCGTAGCAGACGCATCAGTCGTCTCCGTCTGTGGCGTCGTCTTCTCCTCCTCCTCATCCACCTTCGTAGTCCTAGAGACAACAGCAGCCTCTCTCTTGCGCTTTCCGACCATTTTCAATACCTTGTGCTGCTGCTATAAACCAAACAATAAAATGCTGAACAACCAAACCACTCGTCCCGGCGGAAAAAAATAATGCGCGCGATAAGTGACGACTTTGCCGTAAAACCAACCGGCTTATGTAACCCACCTATTCTCCATACTGTATAATTCCCATCACGTGCAGATAAGATAACCCGCGCAACCCCTCGTCGGATTTCCACAAAACCGTGGGGGGGGGAATAGATAGAGTCATTCATTCATTCACGACAGTACCGATCAGACACACGAATTGAGTGGGTGACTTGTGGTGGTCACATCAGAGGATATTCTTCATCAAAATGACCAAATTCCGTCCTTGCATTGATTTACACTCCGGCCAGGTGAAGCAGATAGTGGGCGGAACGTTGAGCAGTGTTGCGGCGGATTTGAAGACGAATTATGTGTCGAAGTTGCCGGCCAGTCACTATGCGGAATTGTATAGGAAGAATGATTTGAGAGGTGGACATGTTGTTATGCTCGGTCCGGGCAATGATGAGGCTGCTAAGGAGGCGTTGAGGACTTGGCCTGCTGGGTTGCAGGTTGCGGGGGGCATTACGGATCAGAATGCGAAGTATTGGATTGAGATGGGGGCTGAGAAGGTTGGTTTTTCTTTGTTTCTACTTTCTTTCTTTTTGGGGGTTGGGGTTGGGTTTTTTTGATGTGGATAGGTGGCTGGATGGGGGTTAGGTTGTGGTGGATTGTGTTGTTATGCAGTGTAATTGGCTAATGTTGCAATTGCAGGTTATCATCACATCGTTCCTCTTCCCGGAGGGCAAGTTCTCTCTTGAACGGCTGCAGTCTGTTCTTGCTGCGTTGGATGGTGATAGGTCTAAGCTGGTCTTGGACCTGAGCTGCAGGAAGAAGGGCAACACGTGGTTTGTGGCTATGAATCGCTGGCAGACGATTACTGAAATGGAGATTACGCAAGGTAAGCATGATAACTTGGCTTTGAATTGAAGGTTTTGTTCTTATGGCTTTGCTTTCTCTGTTCCCTCGCTGTGATTAACAGTCATTGTATGATTACAACTAACCGAAGCAGAATCAATTGCGCTCTTGGAGCCCTACTGTTCCGAGTTCCTCATTCACGCTGCAGATGTTGAGGGTCTGCAACAGGGCGTTGATGAGGAGCTCGTGTCTAAGCTGTCCCAGTGGTGTACTATCCCTGTCACCTATGCCGGAGGTGCTCGGAATCTTCAGGATCTGGAGAAGGTTCACGTTAGCAGTCAAGGGAAGGTGAATTTGACGATTGGAAGTGCGTTGGATATCTTTGGTGGATCTGGGGTAACGTTTGATGAGTGTATAGAATGGAACAAGACGCATTAGGGTGTGATTGTTGGATTGAAGAGATGGTTGTGGGTGAAAATAGACATGAGGCATGGCAGATGATGTATATATATATTTCAGTGACTAAAAACACTGAGGACATGAATGAAACCAGTAGTACTAAGTACTACTTCAAACAGACCTCGCAAATTCAAAGAACAACACCTCACAAGATCTAAAATACCCCCTTGCCCTATACTAGTATAAGTTGAAAGACCCAATCCCCTGACGGGACAAAGTATAACCATCCAGTGCAACACCATGACGCGGACAACAAGTCTCGACACACAACCGCCCGCCCCAAAACAGCTTAGCGCCAACACACCGGAGGTCTCCACCGGCACCTGCGATCCTCGACATCATCCAACGACATCAACGGCCTCATCCCCCCTCTCTTAACGGCAGCCTGGACAGGCAATCTGAAAGTTCCATCACTCTTTTATCTGTGTCAGCGACCAATAAACATCCCATCGCTAGTCCGCAAATCTCATCGCATCTCATCGGATAAACGGGTATCACCATCAACCACCCGAGCCGCGCCAGCCAGCCAGCCACTCCCGACTCTCCCTCCTCCCTCTTTCAACCCTCCGAAGTTGCTCCAGACATATCACACTATAGAAGATGAAGCCCGTCGTCTCCGCCCTTAACGCATGGTCCTGGTACGTCCACAATATATCCACCCAGCGCGACTCCAGAACCAGACCAGCTAGCTAATACAAGGGGACATTGAAATAGCGTGGTCATCTCCGTCTTCGCCATCGTTATCCTCTCCGTCCTGGGTTCGCTATACAAGGTGCGTTTTATACCACATCAATATATTCTATTATCGTCCAAAAGAAAGGAGTATTCTGACAAAAGATTTCATGGAATAGAGCGAACACCCCGGTTTCACTGGTTCCGAAGGCGAACCTGAAGATGGCGCCGCGGTCGCAGCTTCGATTTTCACCGCCGTGTTGGTTTATATTGTACGTGTTTATCCCCTGAATCCTGATGTATATGGATTGGAGTGGTGGAGATAGAAGAGGGAAAAAAGGGGAGAGAGAAAGAATGAGTGGATATGCTGACCGATCGATGGCTGGTGTAGGCTTTCTTCGTGTTCTGCGCTTTCCAGGCTTACTTGCACATGAGGGCCCGGAGGGGCGGGGCTATATCGTTGAGTTAAATGATGTTCAACATTGCTTTGCGATTTTGAGGTGGCTTGCGTCGCTAAATCTTGCTGGAAAAGGAGAGAGAGGAGTATCGATGCAGATGCGGATGGATCATCGAGAGATGTACCATATATTCTATCCCGGGAAGGGGGCATACTTTCCCTGGATGTCAGAGAAAGAGAAAGAAACGAAAGGAATGACGATATTGTCTGCGTGTGCTGTGCTACGTATGACAATCTGATCGTGGGAGGCTCACTCCATCCTCGCTTGCTTATCGTAAAGCCGGAGTGGTATTGGATTGATTATTGATAGCTTCTTCAGTTGCGATGTGATCTGATGGATGTTTGGATTGATTGATCTTTTTTGCGCCGTTCTTTTTTTTTTCTGGTGTATTTTGCGGGTTGTATATGTATATAGTCTTTGTTCGAATAGAACTTGTGTGTCCGCATTTATGTTCAATCCATCATCATCATCATCCATCATGACATTTCACTATTGGTTCGTTCACAGACGAATAGTAGCAGCGAGCGAAGTACTATCTGTAACAGAAAGGCTCAAGTAAGTACCAATACACATGTAACATGTATCATTCATCCTCATAACTTAGATAGTAATAGTAGTGGTGGTAGGCAAGCAAATCGGCTCAAGCGCCATATGTACAATGCAAGTTTCTCTAATCCCGCCCATTTTTGGTATATACCGATTACGCTACTGCTCCCCCGAATAACAGTATAATGGAGAACCAACCCCGAGCAACGCCGCATGCAGATAACCTAAGAAGGACTTTTGTGTGTTTCGAGTATCGTTTGTTGGTGTTGTTGCAATACCGCACATCATTCATATTCAGAAATGGTTTTGTGTCTCTGATAGTGCTTAAAACTCCTCGTCTTCAATCGGGTCTAGCATCTTGGACATGTACGGTCCATCGAGAGTGTATCCCAGACGAGCGTAGTAGCTGCGCACACCGACACCAGAGATAACACTGATCTTTGTGCTTCCGTGCTCCTCGCGAGCGATGCGCTCTGCTTCTTCCATGAGCAGGGTTCCGAATCCGCGGTGTTGGAACTTGCGCGGGTCGCGTCCGTGGAGAGGGACGGCAGATCCGTACACGTGCAGCTCACGCACGATACTGGTCTGCTGACCGGTGAACTCGGGCCGGAAGGTGTGGGTTGGGCTGCACTTGCGCAGGCGCAACAGACCGATCAGGATATCCTGCTTGGGGTCCTCGTAGGCGAGGAATGTCTCCCAGCCTCCGTTGGCCGTGTAGTCACGGCGGATCAGCTCGACTTGGGATGGGCGGATCTTGTTCTTGACTTCATTGATACCGACTTCACGGGTACGTACGTCGCGGCAGGTGGTGCCAAAGTCCTTCATGCGTGCCAAGGCCAGTTCGCGCAGGTTGCCGTTCTCGACTCCCGAGGTCACCAGGGGCATGGGGATATCACGCTGGACACGGTAGATACGTGTCCACGGGGGCACCAGAGCGAGGATGCGGGCAACCAGGTCGATAAGGGCGTTTGGCGTGTAGTTCTTGTAACGACCAGTCCTCCAGAGCTCGTAGAGACCAGTTCCACGGATGACCAGCGTGGGGTAGATCTTCAGACCATCCGTTCGGAAAGCCGGATTTTCGAAGTATTCCTGGAACTGGAACAGGTCACGCTCCATGCCCACGTTGGGCAAATCCGGCATCATATGACTGACGACCTTAAAGCCGGCATCCTTGGCAAGCTTGAATGTTTCTGCGACGGCCGCAACAGTGTGACCTCTGTTTGTGTCTCTGGCGACATCCTCATACAAACTCTGGACACCAATCTCCAATCTGGTACATCCGTAGCGGAGCATACTGCTCAAATGTTGGTCGAGACAGTAGTCCGGTCTTGTTTCGATTGTGATACCCACGCACTTCACGTTACTCATCTCACCAGCCTGTACTGCTTCGTCGACATTGTCCGTCTGGTATCCACTGAGCGCGTTGTGCAGCTGAGCCACGAACGACTCACGGTAGTCCTCTGGCAGAGACATGAATGTTCCACCCATGATGATGTACTCCACCTTGTCCACGCTGTGACCCAGAGACTTGATCTGGTCCACACGTCCTCGGGCCTGCTCAAACGGATCGTAACGGGCGCGGATCGCACGCATCGACGTCGGCTCATATCCGGTATATGACTGTGTAGAGTACTCAAAGTCGGAATCAGGGCCACCAGGGCAGTAGACGCAGATGTTTCCGGTGTAGGCAATATGGGGACAACGATGGGGTTTGCTCATGACCGCGACAACCGCGATACCGGACGACGTTCCTAGCAGGTGTTAGAAAGGTTAAGCGCAGGAAAGGCAAATCGCAGACATACTGATGGGCTTCGCAATCAACTTGGGAAGGATATATTTCTTATAGTGCTCAGGGACAGCCGCGATAATGGCCGTCAATGGGGGTTGTGTAGCCAGGGCATGCTTTTTGGCGACTTGACCCCGCAGTTTGTTGAGGTTGATATCTCTCTTGGGTTTCTTGGGATCGCGTTGCGCTTCATATTCTTGGATGAGGGCATTCGCAATATCGGAGCAAGCTCTCATAAAACGTTCATTCTCCGGGGGGAGTTTGGCATTTTTCTTAGACTTGGGAAGTGGCGGCATAGTCATTGTAGCGGTCGCCATCTTGAAGGAGGTGAAATGCACACCACGCGAACTGCGCGACGGGGCGAAAAAAAGAAAGACGAGTAGGAAAATCAATCAACCGGCCAAATAAGTAAAGATACAAAATCTAGATCTGGATCTTGGATAGCCACTACCGAAAAGAGAAGCGTAGAGCTAAGATAATGTGGGGGAGATGCGGCGGAACAGCACAACGGCAACAGGAAAAAAAGAGCAGCGAGGCCGAGGGAGGCAACCGACCGCCCGTGACAACTCGGATCCGCTTAAAGCTTTGTCCCGAAATTCCCCAAAGCGAATCTGTCCGGCGCGTTTGAAACGGCTACTCTTCTCTCTCTTCTCTATCTCCAACCACAACCTCTCTCTTGCACCTTCGTAGTGCTTCACTTTCACACCTCTCCCCTCTTTCCGATCTCCCCTTACCGGGTTTCTTTCCCTGCCCATCAACCATGCAGGCCGTCCGCCGTAACACCGTCGCTGCCCTTCGCAATGCTGCTGCCACGCAGCGCCGGGCATACTCTGCCTCGGCCAGCCCGGCTTATGCTGAGACTGTGAACAACCTTCGCATTAACGGAGAGACCAAGGTCATCTTCCAGGGTTTCACTGGAAAGCAGGGAACGTACGTCTTTTTTGGCCCGATCCGCTGGGAACGCTGTTTATCATGCATGAGATGCTGACGTTGCTATTATTCGTCTTTCCGCAGTTTCCACGCTGAGCAAGCTATCGCCTATGGTATTATCTCCTCCTACGTCTGCACCAATTAGATAGGTGTCTCCGGCGGTTTCACATGGGAAACTCACAACTTGCTAGGCACCAAGGTCGTTGGTGGAACCAACCCCAAGAAGGCCGGCTCGATGCACCTTGACCGTCCCGTCTTCGCCAACGTGAGCGAGGCCGTCAAGGAGACTGGAGCTACCGCTACTGCGCTCTTCGTCCCGTATGCTTCCGGCCGTCCTAATCGAGAATAGAAGGAACATTTGCTAATGATTGAGTCTAGCCCCCCCTTGGCCGCTAAGGGTATTGAGGAGGCCATCGAGGCCGAAATTCCTCTGGCTGTCTGGTAGGCAAAACTCTCTCGATGACGATAGAAGAGCCTAGCATGTGCTAACAACCGGGATAGTATCACCGAGGGTATCCCTCAGCACGGTATGTTTATTAGCCATGGAGTAGCGCCGACGATCTCTGCATGTTGGACGTAGGACTGACCACCAATCAATCAGACATGGTTCGTATCACCGATATCCTGAAGACGCAGAACAAGACCCGTCTGGTGGGTCCTAACTGCCCTGGTATCATCGCTCCTGTAAGTTGCATCCAATAACCACTAGGCGATCCTTCTGGACAGGGGTCAAGATGCTAATGATGAAATTTTCGGATGTTATAGGGCCAGTGCAAGATTGGTATCATGCCTGGATTCATTCACAAGCGTGGCCGTGTCGGTATCGTCTCCCGGTCCGGTACCCTGACCTACGAGGCCGTCAACCAGACCACCCAGGCTGGTCTTGGTCAGTCCCTGGTCGTCGGTATCGGTGGTGACCCCTTCTCCGGCACCAACTTCATCGACTGCCTGAAGATCTTCCTCGAGGACCCGGAGACCGACGGTATCATCATGATTGGTGAGATCGGTGGTAGCGCCGAGGAGGATGCCGCCGAGTTCCTCAAGGCCAACAACAAGTACAACAAGCCCGCCGTTGGATTCATCGCCGGCATTAGCGCTCCCCCGGGCCGTCGTATGGGTCACGCCGGAGCCATCGTCAGCGGCGGCAAGGGTGGCGCTGACTCTAAGATCTCCGCTCTTGAGGCGGCTGGTGTTGTTGTCGAGCGCAGCCCCGCTTCCCTGGGCAAGGCGCTGCTGAACGAATTCGTCAAGAGGGATCTGGTCTAGACGAATTGATAACAGTCTGCACGCAGGCGGAGACATTCCCTTGAACCCTGCCGGTTCCTGGGCGAAACTCACCACTCTTATTCGCCCAGTATGGGCGGGGGTTTTTGACTTCTTCCCCTCCCCTCCATCTCTCTATCATTAGACGACTCCCTTTCGATGTCCGAGCCATGGCGGCCACACTGTACTTTTTGTCTCTTATATCTGGTCTCATTTTCTCTTTTTTCTCGTCGATATATCTCCTATGTTTAGAGATGCAAGGAAGTAATTAGGTTCACTTGTGTAAATTTGGTCTGAATTTCTTTCTTGCTTTTGAAACTGATGTTGTAGTCGGAGTCATGATCTACACCGTAGTTATTGCAACCCACGGACTCCGTGTAGCAGAATCCTACAAAGTAGATTAATCTAGATGGAGTCCGGTACTACCCAGCACGGAAGGGTCCAAACTCAATAAAATGGAGTGAGTGAGTGAGTGAGTGAGTGCCAACGTGCAGGCCCGCTTAGAAGCCTAGTGACTGAAGGATGGTTGCCTGAAGACTGAACCAGACTAAGCTAAACTACACTAAACTAGCCTAGATTAGGGAGTAGATGACTGAGGACCACCCGGGAAACCTTCTCAATTCTCACCAAGCACACATACTTGCAAGTTGCAAACAAAAACTAAACCGAATGGAATCGGGATATCGGACATACCCGGAATCCTCCCAGCCAGTATGGCCGAGCAAAAGGATAGTCCATGTTTTCGGGAATGTTGGGGCTTGGCACCGGGCCGGGAACGAAAGACCAACTTAACTTGAGATGAATATCCGATTAGGATCAGATCATTTGCCGCTTCAAGCAGCCGTGACAGACAATCACTTCCATCATCATCATCATCATCATCATCATGGATCATTATTCGGCTACTACAATAATAATAATAAATTATTAATAATAATAGTAATATACTTTGGCTAGAAAGCAAGCAAGCAAGTAGGCTGTGTACATCACCTACTATGTTTGGCTTTGTGAAATCTACGTAGTGTCTGACCCTGTAAGGCCAATCAATCACATTTCTTCGTTGTTATCGTTCAAAGTTATTGGGAGATTATGCAATCGTGCCATGGATGTAATCCTGGTCTAGAACTATTACTACTTACTACGTTGCTACTAGATACTGTGTACATACGTACTTTTGGTTAGCTAGTTAGCTAGTTAGCCGCGACTTAGGGTCATTCATATCCCGGTATACTATCCTATCCTATACTATACTATACTATTGTCACTCAATTAATTAATATCCGTAGTCTTAGCTACCATCTTAGTTGCTTTAGTTTTTTTCGGCCCAATCCAACGATGTGTGTGTGTGGCTTAGAAAGCTGAAACATCCCGTGTGTGTCCTAACTGCTCTGTCTGCATGCCGGTCTGTCCGTCGGCTTCCCGATGTTGCATTTGTTTCTGTTGATGGCTTTCGGGTTGTGGGGGTAACCCTGGTTTTGAGGAATCGAGGTGGCTGAATTTCATTTACTTGGTGGTATCTAGTGGTAGTGGGTGTCTAGTTGGTGAGTACTATGAAGAGGGGAGGGGTGTGTGCTTAACTTTCAATGATATACTTATACTAGTTAATGCTGAAGAAGAAATATCTCCATCCTATTGAAGGTTAATAAGACAGGAGTGATATAGATTGATAAGTTTGATGATATGGTATAAATAGATAATACTTTTCTGTGTAACGCTCCTCCCTCCCATCCCTTCCACATTCAGTTCTATAGTTGAAAAGAAAATAAAATAGAAAGGAAGAAAGCAGGTTTACCGACTACCTTCCCCCCCCTCTTCCTCCCGACGAGGAACCACCATACCGGGCAACCAAATCCTTCTGGTCGGCACCGGCAAGACAGGGATTCTACTCCCGTGTGCATTATTGTATTGCGTACTACTTCGAAAAGCGAAGCGAACAGAAGAAAAGCGAAGAGGGGGGAAAGAGCGCAAACGGGACACCTTAGCAAAAAGGTTGGTGAATAAATTAATTGCCCCTCCTTTCGGGCTGCAGCCAAGACTTATAGGTGCAGGATTAGTGAGAAGTCATTAGGTAGTTGACTAACTACTGTGTGCTTCGCTTACTGTGTAACAGGGGTCTTTATCTATCTATCTATCTCTTTTCTACTTATTCAGTTATCTGTGTTTGTTTAGAATTCTGTGAGTGGTTACAAACGGGCATATGGAAGTTTTTGATGGATGATGGATGGATGGAGGGAGGGAGGGGATGTCTCAGATATCAGCACGTCAAAGTGATAGGCAGAGAAAGTGTGAGAGGAGAGAAGATGTGTCTGCCAGGTCCCATGTGAAGAATACATATACGCTATACCGAGTATGTTAATTGATCTGATCTGCTGCTGCTGCTCAAGCCCTGAAGATAAGAATGACGATGACAGAGGTGTTGTACGTGCGCAAAGCTTGTGGGTACTAACTACTACTACTACTACTACTACTACTACTATTACTACTAGTATTAAAAATAGATGAAGTGCATATGTATGTGTATATTACTTTTCTGTTGTTGTTGGAATAAATAAATTAATTGTATTTGTAGTAGTGGTAGTGCTAGTTTAGGCCTGTCAAGCTGCTACTGTAGACGTATACTACGTAGTTATCTAGATAGCTAACCAACTAACTCAACTAGCTACTAGTTGTGATCAATTAGCGTATAGTGATATTGATGTGACGACATCCTACTGTATACTAACTAGCCAAATGCACAGGTATGTCATGAATGACTGATAATCACCGATTTCAGCCTAACCAACAATCGATACCTCCTGCAGTATGGCAGACAGACAGACAGATAGATAGATGGACAGGTCGAGAACAAACGACACTGCTGCAAGATTTCTTCTCATTCTCTCGTGTTGTCTTGGCTGCATACCCGAGCCTTGGAAAGACAATCCCAACCAATTCCCGATTTTAGATGTTTCTTCTTTCTTGGGCTTTTCCGTATTCCTGGTCTTTTTTTGTCTTGGCCTCAGGCCAAGATCCTTGGTCGTGTCGGAAGATAGTAGCACACTAAACCGAGAGAGTACAGTAACACAACAGATCATTCGGTATCTATCTACTACTAAATGTGTGGCAGAACCGGTTGTGTAAGCATGCAGCGAGGCATGCATACATACATACTTCGCTCGGGCTGTGCAATATGACTGGTTCTCGGGTTTGGCCACAAAACGGAGAGAGGGAGGGGAGCGGGATAATTACAGTCAGTAAGTTAGTCATTAAATTAATTGAACCTCGCTAAAGGAGAGAGAGACTGTGTGAGAGAGTTGACAAGGGGCACAATAAAAAAAAAGCTTTAATATATACCTTTTTGCTTCTTCTTTTCTGCTTGTTTCTTTTCTGTTATCTGCAGGTCCTGACAGGTACTAAATATGTAAGTGCATAATGACGAATGACCAAACCTATCTACCACAAGTTTTTCTACACAGTAAGTAGTAGTCTACTAGATGTAGTAGAGTTTCTAGGCAAAGAAAGAAAACGGAAGATACCGGATCGGATTGAGTTGATTTGAACAAGGGCCGCGCCGTGATAACAATAACCAAGTTAGTTCTAGTCTCTCCCATTTTGATTTATTCATTCTACTTTTTTAATTCTCTTTTTTTATTTATTTAATTATACTTTTCGATTCTTCATTTTTTATTTTTATTTTTCTTCAGTCGTCGGCTCGCATCTTGTCTAGATCCCGATCTGGTCCAAAAGGTACTCTTACTTACTTCCACAGTAGTGGTAGTGGTACGTAGTGGTGGTGGCATTGAATACGAAGAGGCAGTCAATAAACTAAATACTCACATCCACTGCATGAATCATAAAATCTACGAAAGATGGGATGGGTGGATGGATATATCTTCACCGTCTCAACACAACAACACATAATCCAACACAAATCAACACAACACAACACAGCACACACCACCTCAAACATCAGCCATCCGAAAACCACTTCCGCCAAGAAAAGAAACAAGAAGACAGGACCGGACCAGCCCCAAACACAAAAACTTAACAGTTTCTACTCCCGTACGCCTCCCGATTGACCGCCCGTCTCAAGTGGCGGCCGCCGGCGTAGATCATCGCCTCCACTTTGCAGGGAACTTTAACCAGTCGGAATTGGTGATTCGGGTAGAGAGGGACTCAGAGAGAGAGGGGGGGAGGTCTGAGTCTGAGCCTGAAGTAAATAGTAGATAAATAAATAATAACTTTCGTGAAGTTACTTACTACGTACCGTTACTACTAGTTGGAGAAATATCTCTGCTGAGCCACCCACTAGTCTATATTTCATCGTAGTTAGTTTGTAGTATAGATACTCCGTAGATATTTAATCCTTTTTTTTGTTAGTTATGTCTTCAAGTTGGTTTAGTAATATAGTAGTGATGCCCAAATAAATAATATTAGAATAATAAATGAAGATAAGAATATTTCAGTTTAATTGTGATATCCGCACACTACTGCCGGATCACTTGGTATACGATGATCATCAAAAAGAAAAAGAGAAAAGAGAAAAGAGAGGGGCCGAAAAAGAAGAGGGAAAAGGGACGTTATGGTGTGCTTGGGACCCCTGATTTGCTTGTTTAGTTCGCGGTTCCGGCGCTAGTGCAGGACGACGCAGCGAGGATGGATTTGAAGGAATGGGTTATGGGTAGTTTTAGTGCTGATTTAGTAGTAGTGTTTTAACCTTCTTATCAAGGAAGAATTAGGGTGTGCTCTTGGCACAAGTTCCTTTTTTTGTTGTTGTGATCCTTGGCATGAGTAGGTGTTGTTGTTGTTGTTGTCGCTTAGGAGGTAAAAAGGGAGAGGAGAATATTCGGTGAAATATGTAGTACTCGTTCGGTTTACATAGTAAGCATGACTGATGGCAGAGGAAATTGTTCCGTTGTCGTTGTTATCTATCGAATTTGATTTTTCGGGGGTTGATTAACTGCTACTAGTGAGGTTAGCTCTTCAGCACAGTTGCTGTCGAACAGTTAGTAGTGCTGTTAGTAGTAGATAGTAGTAGTAGTAGAACGGAGTCCCACGGAGGAAGAAGGAGAAAAGTAGGTGGAGATCCAGTTCAAGGTCTCATCTTGCTCCATCCGCGATCTACGTCGTCAACCACACTATTGCGATCAATCAGTCTCAGACCCTCTTGCTCTGCGTGTTCCGACACTCCATACACCTCCCTAGAGTCCCTACACTATCCGTTTTCGTGGATTTACATGCATTGGTGCCTCATATCCTCACGGTATCTTCGTCATCACTTTCTATTATTATGCATCTCACCTTGTTGATTCCCCCCCCATCCTGTATTTTCTTTGCTTCACTTCTACTGCCATCCTGTTTGCGCAACGACTCCTTTTTCACCCTATCCACCACCCCTGATGGCAATTTCTACTTGTCTCATATTTAAGCTTACCATCTGTTACGTAGACCTCCCGCACTGACCCGATCAGGTGCTCATTGGCTGTGGAGTTGTGGTTGGCGATTCTCCCATGGGAGAGCTCCCTCAAGGTGTCTTGGTATAGCTTCACTCCACCTCCAATTCCGCAATCTGCAGCCACGGTGGAACCAGCCCAGCGAGGCTGGCCAGCTTGTCAGGGATCCATCCCAAGAAAACTCGTTGTCTGGGCGTCGCACTCGATTTTTTTGGTCCTCGCCTCCCATGCAATCATCCTCCCACACCCCTCCCCCTTCTTAGTGCGTATGGGCCTGATGTAGATCCCCGAGATCCATAGCAACCCACTACACCTGAGCAGTTCGCCAATCAGGCTGATCTCAGATTGCTCATACTGGCGCGCGTGCGTGCTCCCTGTTTCCTACAACTACTCCTTCTAAAGGGGGGGGGGGGGGGGGGGATAGGGACCCTGGCGTCCTGAGTCGTCAATTGATGACTTGCCTTGCCGTCTCGCGTTGCATCGGGCCTCTCCGTGTTGATCACGCTTAGCTTCTGCGTGGGAGACAACCTTCTCCGTCAACACATGTGGGAGATGTTGGCTGAGAAGAGTCGACGGCCTATCTACTCCATACCATGTAGCCCAACGCTCCGCCACGGCGCCACTGAATAGCCTGCTCAGCTCCCTTATCACGGGCTCCGCTTCCATCTAGACCCTTGCGCATGACAGGCGTGCCCGGTCCTTCACACACACCATTCGCTGGAAATCTGTATGCTAAGTTGACTAAATCCGTCAGCTCTCGAGGTGCAGGCGCTAGTCGTAGTCCAGGATGGCCTGGAAAGCATGCTCGTTCTGGAATTTCATCACCACGCCGGGCCCACGTCATGTATGCAGATCTTGGTAGCTCCGCCCTTTCGCCCTTTTCAATTTTTTTTTTGTTTCTGATTCTTCGTCGGCTGCCCGACGGCTTGGACTCTCTCGGATGTGACCTAGACTACTGGTCGCCAAGTAAGACCGGCCGAAGAGATACTCCTAAACCCACGTCTCCGTTCATACCTTGGCGATAACACCGGCTCTTGCCACCCACATTTACCCTCTTTAGGAAGGTCATGGATGATGGATAGCCCCCCCGTCTGTCCAAGATGCTCCGCAGTGGAGCAATCCTGCATCTGCTTTTTAATCGAGTTTTCGAAGATGTTTTGGCCCAGTGCCAGATCAATTTCAAAACTCCGGAACATAAAGTGCATTGGCCTCGCACTTCCGGGCTTGCAATCTCAGCTTTGATATTCCTCCCCAAGGTGGTTCACAGATTGCCAACGTGCTTCGAGGCTGGCCCCGAGTCATATCAACAATCATGTCTTCAACCACATCTTCATCAAGATCAGACCTTGAAAAGGTCCCTGTACCACAGGTCACCCCTAGAGACAATGACTCCGACAAGGGATCTCTCTCTCCGGAGCCCTCGACCCTCGAGGCTCAGTCGTCCGAGAAGCCACCGCATCATATCTTCACACGGTCTCGCAAGCTGCAAATGGTTTGCATCGTCTCCCTCGCCGCCATATTTTCCCCGCTTTCGTCGAACATTTACTTCCCTGCCCTGGATGATGTCTCAAAAGTGAGTACCTCGGTTCCATGCCTTCCTGAACCCGGCATATTGACTGTATCATGATAGTCCCTCAACATCAGCATGTCGCTCGCAACTCTCACCATCACCGTGTACATGATCGTCCAAGGCCTCGCCCCTAGCTTCTGGGGTTCCATGTCAGACGCCACGGGTAGACGGCCTGTCTTTATTGGAACATTCGTCGTTTACCTCGTAGCCAATATCGCTCTTGCCGAATCGAAGAACTATGGTGAGCTCATGGCCTTCCGAGCCTTGCAGGCTGCTGGTAGCGCGGCCACCATCTCAATCGGTAAGAGTGACCTCACAGCCTATCATAGCATCTGGCTAACCATGATTAGGAGCCGGAGTGATTGGTGATATCACAAACTCGGAAGAAAGAGGTAGCTTGGTGGGTATCTTCGGTGGAGGTAAGAATCCCCCCTTTGCTTGCCGGATGGCTAAGCTGACAGAATCAAGTTCGCATGCTTGGACAAGGAATCGGGCCGGTCTTCGGCGGCATCTTCACCCAGTATCTCGGATATCGATCTATCTTTTGGTTCCTCACGATTGCCGGGGGCGTGAGTCTCCTGTCCATCCTGGTGCTCCTCCCGGAGACATTGAGGCCAATTGCTGGAAATGGAACTGTAAAGCTCAATGGCATCCATAAACCCTTCATCTACTCGATCACCGGCCAGAAGGGGGTTGTTGAGGGAGCGCAACCTGAAGCGAAGAAGAAGCAAAGCAGCTGGAAATCGGTTTTCGCTCCTTTGACATTCCTCGTCGAAAAGGACGTTTTCATCACTCTGTTCTTTGGAAGTATCGTGTACACAGTGTGGAGTATGGTGACATCCAGTACCACCGACCTCTTCAGCGAAGTGTACGGCCTGTCATCCCTGGATATTGGACTTACTTTCCTGGGCAATGGTAAGTAATATGATCCTCTCTGACACTCGGTTTGAATGATCGCTCATGCATCGATAGGCTTCGGATGCATGTCTGGCTCTTATCTGGTCGGCTATCTCATGGATTACAACCACCGCCTTACCGAACGCGAATATTGCGAGAAACACGGCTACCCGGCAGGCACACGTGTCAATCTGAAATCACACCCCGACTTCCCCATCGAGGTTGCCCGGATGCGCAATACCTGGTGGGTGATTGCCATCTTCATCGTGACCGTTGCTCTGTACGGTGTGTCTCTGCGCACACACCTGGCGGTTCCTATCATTCTGCAGTACTTCATTGCGTTCTGCTCAACAGGGCTTTTCACTATCAACAGCGCTCTGGTCATTGATCTTTACCCAGGTGCTAGCGCCAGTGCGACAGCAGTGAACAATCTGATGCGGTGCCTGCTTGGAGCTGGCGGTGTGGCTGTCGTGCAGCCTATCCTTGACGCCTTGAATCCGGATTATACTTTCCTCTTGCTTGCCGGCATTACCCTCGTGATGACTCCGTTGCTGTATGTCGAAGATCGATGGGGTCCTGGCTGGCGACATGCCCGTGAAAGGAGACTCAAGGCCAAAGCCAACGGAAACTAGGGAGAAAAAGGGTTCAAAATGGGGGTAGTGGGATTGGTGAAGTAGATGTTTGATTCTTCTCCACACATTCTTGATTCGGGTTTTCTTTTAGCGGCATTTGGCGATACCACTGTTTTGCAAGCGATACCAGTTAGATTTATAGAAGAATTGATCATTTCCACCTTTATCTCGCTGTTGTTCTCTCATAGTATTGTAGATGCACATATGGGTGGAGGAGAAAGGATTGACATTGTGGTTGAAATAGTATGATTCAAGTGGAGATGGAAGTATAAAGTGGAAGTCTGTTGTTTAGTGTTGAGACTAGACTAGACGTGGCCGATGAAGTCACGGGGCTTAGCTTAGATAATCTAAATGCGGCTGAAGTGACCGACGATGGGTCGTCATAGTCGTGAACACAGGTCGGTCAAGCAGAACATATCGCCGCAAAAGGGTATAATAATGGCTATTATGGAAATAAGAATGCTAAAGTAACTACCCCTAGTTTAGGAGCCAGTAGATAGTTGTTATAAGGGTACCTATACCTATCTATTTGGGGGAACACGAGGAGGTCGGGAGTACATACTTGTTAGTTAACTTACTTGTTTGTTTGTGACGAGGAATGTCAGTTAGGTAAGCACCACGTGATGCGTGACCCAAACAAGCGCCCGGTCGTTGCTTGAGGAACCAATTTCTCTGTTTATCCTCCTTCGAACACCACACTTCGACCTTCTGGACACTGTCGCTATGAGCCTTCCATAGCCAGCCTGTTTCAGCTCGACAACCCCTCTTGATGCCTTGACGACAACTCATCAACTTCTAGCTCCGTTGGTTCACGTTCTTGCTGTCCTTCTTGCGGTGTGGACCTCGTGCGGTCGAGGGTGGCTCCGTGAAGGATCAAAACAGACGCTATTGCCCGTGGTTACCGATCGTCTCTCACCCAGCAACAAGGAAACCCAGACAGACACTGCACAGCGTAGCAGATCCTAAAAGAGAAAGAGATGCCTCCTGAGATGGGTAAGAAGCTGCCTTCCTTCCTGCAGGCGACGTGTCTGCTTCCATCTGACCTTCTCCCGCACCTGGAGACCTTGATTGCCTTCCCTCTCCATCTGCTGTACGTTGGACTGCCGGCTAACTTGCAGGAACCGCAGCTCGAGCGGCCTCCCAATCATCGAGTGCTGCTTCCCAAGCAACCCAGATAGTAGCAACTCACAGTCGCCCCGGGACGGCTGATCTCATGAGGTCACGCTCCGAAACCGTAGTGTCCCGAAACAGCCGTCGCCCGCGGTCCAGAGGCTCGACGGCTAGCATCCACTCCAACACGACCCAGCAGACCCAGGACCAACAGCTTGCCGATGGCTTTTCCCAGTTCCTGCCCACCCAACCCACTGCTGGTCACAATGTTTTCGGCGGTAACCCGGAGGATATCATCATGCGATTTGGCCAACAGTTGTCGCATCCGGTGAACGGAGCGTCCCTCGACCCGACCATGCAGGATGCTCACCATGCTGTCATGCCCAGGGCAGAGGAATTCCCCAGCCATGCAATGCATAGTCACCATATGTCACATCACTCCATCCCTTCTGGTCTATCAAGCCATGGATTGGCGGGCGTGCCGATGCCCCAATACACAGCTATGTATGACAGTGGAATAGAGAACCATGTGCCTGAGCATGTACTGGAAGAAAATGATATCTCCGAGGCTGGCGCGAAGAAGAAGAAGGGGTCCAGCTCGTCGCTAGCCAACGATAACGAATTGCGCAAACTGCTCCGCCAATATGAAGGGTATTCGCTGAAGCAAATGGCAGCCGAGGTCTTGAAGCATGAAGGGGCTGGAGGCAAGGCAGAGAAAGTCAAACAAGTCTTTGCGATGATTTGGTAAGGCTTGTTTATTGCAGTTCCATGCATAGGAATGTTCGCTCACAACAGTCTAGGCTGAAGGAGAACTGCCGCAAGAGCAGCGGCTCAGTGCGCCGCGATCGCGTGTACTGCTGCTATGCAGAGAAGTGTGGAACAGAACGAGTATCAGTTCTGAACCCTGCTTCCTTCGGCAAGCTTGTGCGCATTATCTTCCCAAATGTGCAGACTAGAAGACTTGGTGTGCGGGGCGAATCGAAGTATCACTATGTGGACCTCACTGTCATTGAGGAGAAGCAGCAGAAGCCACCACCCCTCAATCCACAGTTGCCATCGAACACGAACAGCGCAGCAAATGTCACTGAAAGCAAAGTTGATGACATGATGCAGAAGAGGTGCGTCACGTGATGGACTCATTCACGGATTCAAGTACTTACATAGATCACAGTGTTAGTGTTGCGCCACAGCCTCCTGCAGATACTGCTGTATTCCCTTCGCCTACGACATCTTTTGCACCAAAGTTCACTGCAACCCCATCTACTTCGGGATGTGACTGCCAATCTTCATCTGAGTCTCACACTGGTTCATCCATCAGACTTGACAATATGGCAAGCACATCAGGAAAGTTGATACACCAAATGCTTCACCTACCGTCTTCCGACTCTCCCCCAATGGACAACGAATCTCTGCAGCTTCCTGATATCAGTAACTATCTGCCAGCCAATACGGATTCGAAGATTGCTGCGGCTCTTGCGGCTCTCTACCGTTCACACTGCATCTCCGTCATCGACAGTTTCAGATACTGCAAGGAAAGAAACATGCTACGATATTTCTCCGCCTTCCATGGAACTTTGACCGTACCAGTCCAGAAACTCCTAACCCACCCGAATCTTGCTCCGTGGATCAAGGAATGTGACTGGATAATGTACCAGAAAATGATCGCTTTCGTTGCGCCACTTACTACGCAGGTCGTTCCCAAGCTCGTGTTGGATGCTTTCAGCTCGATCTCTCAGAAACTTACAGCCCATATTGCCGATACATTCAAGTCTCAGCCACTGCATGTATCGGAGGCAAGATTAATTCCGGCTCATATCTTCTGCAACCTTCTGAAGCACATGCTAGATGTGAATCAATCTG